ATGAGTTTTAAGCTACTGGGTCCAGGGCGCAAACCGCTGTAGACTACATGGGAGTCCAGCGACATAGCCATTATGCTAACTACTGGTCCCCCTACATTTTTTTAAGTAACAGAAAGAAAAATGGCCATTGGTGTTGGCGCCTCAATTCAGCTCTTCAGATGGTCAGTTCCTCTACAACGACGGGTCACTGGCTCCTTCACTATCATAGAGTTTAGTTTCTTTTTTTCTCTGTTCTCTACTCAGTCATAAAATCCTTCAACAGAGGATAAGTATGATTTTAGTGGGCAATAACCTGCGAATTTAGCCTAAAAATGCAGAAGGTGATGAAATTACTAGGAATTTGTAGCCACTCTCCTTTAAACCTATTCGACACCAGCTCGCTGACATGTGGCGAGGAGAAAACAGTACAGATGCTGAGTCCTCGCAGGGGCTAAACTGTCTTGCGCAGTTTTCTAGGGGCGCACATGCCTCTCCTGTCTCCCTTCTAGAGGGAGACAGAAACTCTTCAGGACAGAGGACTGGGGACGTGCTTGGCCTTGAATGTGACAATCTAAAAATGAACGAGACAGCAAAACGCACTAGAAATTGCTGAAGCACCCGCTCGGTGGATCCTTCTCTTGGGCGTCTGCTGGTGGCAGCCCAGAGAGTTACACCAGGGAGTTTCAACATAGCTACGAACCAGCCCGGCTCAGGAGCTGGATTCAGAACAGCTGAGTATCACGCTGGACCAGGATCCTGAAGGCACTTTCTGTGCCATTAATTACCTGTTTCACGACTTTACTGTTGGACAGGTGCAGAGTGGGTGGGGACAAAACGAGGAGGTGGGTGCCCCCTAGCGACAATATAGAAGCATCTCACTACTGTAACCACTGAACTGCTGGGCCACGTGGACTGGCCACGTGTTAGGTCCCGGCTCTTGGAACCTTTCCTTCAGCTTCATAGGAATACCAGTTGACCCCTGTTCTCTGTGAGGAAGTTAATATGTGGCCACGCCAAACTCAAAGGGAAAAAAGTCTTTAATTCATAGGTGGAAGGGCTGCGGTTGAAGGTAAAAGAGCTGATAGTAACTCAATTTTCAGAAATCTTTTCTAGGTTAATAAATGTGCTTGGAAAGAAGGCCCATAATCTCTGAGAGATCATATTTACATGGAGAACACAGTTAATAAGTCAGCGTAAGGTGTCCTGTTGACAGCCAGGAAAATGGGCCCTTTGGGTTAAGCGTTCTCATCGGTGGATTATGTGTACTTAAGAAGGACAAAGGTATAAATGTTCTCATCTAAGGGATCAGGTCCACAACGCTGTGCTAGGGTTTGCACCCCGGGCATGGTATCAATCCCAAACCCCGGGATGGAAGAGGACGCTAATGGAGACTCACCGATACACTTCCCGGACACTGGGACAAGAGTGTGTTCATCTTATCTGACAATTATGTGTCACCAGGATTCAGTCAGCTCTTCATCTCATACTGTGCATCTCTCTCTCTCTCTCTCACACACACACACACACACGCACACACGCACACGCACGCATGCGCACAATACAAGATAAAGGAGGAAAACAACAATGAATAATGTAATCCATTTTTTTTTTCAAGAAGCCTAATTTAGAATACACCTTCTTGCATAAACAGCTAAAAACCAGCCACAGCGGGGCTCTCTACACTCTGTAAAATTAAATTGCATAAACTCTTGAAATTGCCTAGTACCAAAAGAGCAAAGGAAGTCCTAGTTTCCACAAAACCAACGATGTCAGGTTTATTACGCTGCCAGCTTTTCAAAGCATATATCCTGCTGCATACGCACACCCGCAGGGCACGCCTCGAGGGTTCTGGCCTCTACATGAATGTAAACTGGGTTTTATCGCTCAAGGCAAGAGTAGGGAGAGGGAGGCAGCAGGTACCAGCCAGCCATCTTCCGCCAGCAAACCCTCCATGGGAGCAGGGCCAGCTCTGCCACAGGACGCAGGGCTCCTTCCAGCAAAGACCAGCTTACTGGGCCTCGGCACCTGCCGGGCACCTGCCGGGCTGGGGTGGGCCTCGTGGTCCCTGCACAGCTGTGGGGTATGAACAGCTTCTCCTTCTGTGCCTAGAAGACAGAATGCTGTCTCCACCTCAGGACAACACCACAAACAGGACAGTGAATAAATATGCAGGGGTTGTCGGGTAGCAGCAGATTACTGGCGCAGAGGAAAGAAATAAACCGTGTTGCTTGTCTTCCTTCCAGGATAAAATCATAATGAGAAAAAAAAAAAAATGATGGATTTCTGAAAGTAATTGCATGTGCAGCGATTCTATGGGCCGCCCTCGTAATTGCTCTGCCACTGCTATTTCTTGCTTCTATTTGCAGACCACTTGGTTTGTTAGAATAAAATCCTAATTGTGTTTTCGATGTGCTGCCCTCTCTGTGCTGTTGCTGGGACTTTACACGCTAGAGTGCTTTTGTCAAATGCAAGTCGGGCCACAGATATTCATCACCAGAAGGTTTTTCATACACACGTCTCCATCCACGCGCTCCAGGTGTACCTGCGTGGGTTCATTTGTTCACTCGAGCAACACGCTGGACAAGGCCAAGGGTAAATGTTGCCCATTTCAGTTTCCATGGGGAGAAATGGAACCATCGAGCCTCTATAAAACATGGTGAGTTTATTTTTAGACCTGACGCTCAGGGTTTCAGAATCCACAACCGCATGATTCTAACCTTCCTTTGCAAGCCAGGGGAACAGAAGAGAAAATCATTAACGGAGGAGAAAATCTCCCTCCTGCATCTCCCCAGTCCTTGTCAAGGTGAGCGACCCTGAGCCAGACCTCTCTGTTCTGAGAAGAGCTTGCTTACAGACGGAGTTACCTGGGTCTTTGTAGATACTGAGCACACCCTTGAAGTAATGAGGTAAAAATCTTTCCAGTAAAAGCAGCACATCTTCCAACTCTTCAAGAATGCCCACGAGCAGGAAGTTCTCGTTCACGTTCAGCTTTGCCCGCTCAAGGGCCCACTCACCAGGCTCCCTTTATGGACACAGAAATTGTTTTTAAATTAAAGGTCCATTTCTGAAATGCAACAACAACATGCTGGAAGTTTCTCCTATCTACCCTGCCCACATCTGCATGCGTCCAAATCCTATTTCCCTCGAGGTCCAGCCTCATCTGTAGCCTTCCCTGGTTCTCTGGGCTGCTGTCCCCTGCCCTGCCCACCTCACCACTCCTTCTCTGTCTCTTCCACCTATGCATAATGTCAAGCCCAGGGACTGGAGCTTAGTGGGTTGTGCCTAAATGCTTGTTCAAAGGGGAATGGAGGCATGGGCAGTTTAGGGCCTCACAAATGCTGATCCAGGAATGATTAGAATGGCTTTATTTATTTATTTATTTTTTGATATTTTTGCTATAGGGTGTGTGTGCTCACCTGAGAGACAGAGAAAGACACAGAGAGAGAAAGTGAGCAACCAAGGATGGCCATGCTGCAATCCCTTCTCCTCCATTCTCCTCTCGGGATTTTGGGCACACATGCACACGTGCCTGGTGTGTTTCAAGCTGCTAGGACTGGGACTCAAACTGTGGTCGACCATGTGGGAGTTCAGTGCCCTAACCACTATACCAGCTGCTGGCTCTAGAATGGCTTTTTAGTAGAAGCCCCAGTCCAATCATTTAAATGAATTTGGAAGTTTTGAAAAAAAAAAAGCAAATGTTCTGATCTAGTACTTCTGTAGAAATCACAATAGGTGTCCAGTCATGACTGCTATTCATCTTATTGCTTTAAAAAGCTGAAAGATCATTTTTTTTGCTTTTTCTTCCTTTTTAATTGCAGAAGGAAAACAGCCTCATTTTATTTGGAGGTTAGATCTCCAAATTTTTGGAGAGAAAATTCCAAGACTTGGACTCCGGGACTGGCTGTCATTTACCCCTTGGGAGATCTGGGCAAGCCAGAGTTCTCTTTTGAAAACTGGTAATCAAAACCCTTTACTAGCTCGAAGAGTTGGTGTGAAGGGTGAACAAGGTCACATTTTGGAAGCATCTGGGAATCACTGTGTGTGTACCAAGATAAGGCACCATGAGTAATCCCTTCAACACTGGGAAATATAAGATTTTTTTTTCTTTTTTTTAAAGGAGGTTTTTGCCTTAGGGCATTTGCACTCAACAGAGAGAGAGAGAGAGAGAAAGAGACAATGAGAGGGAAAGTGAGATGTCACCTTACTGAGGCAAGGGGTGGGGTGGGGTGGGGTGGGATGGAGTCTGAATTCAGAAAGTCTAGACGAAGCAGCAAACTAACAGGCGCAGTCCCAGAACTTGGACAAACAGGACAGTGAATAAATATGCAGGGGTTGTCGGGTAGCAGCAGATTACTGGCGCAGAGGAAAGAAATAAACCGTGTTGCTTGTCTTCCTTCCAGGATAAAATCATAATGAGAAAAAAAAAAAAATGATGGATTTCTGAAAGTAATTGCATGTGCAGCGATTCTATGGGCCGCCCTCGTAATTGCTCTGCCACTGCTATTTCTTGCTTCTATTTGCAGACCACTTGGTTTGTTAGAATAAAATCCTAATTGTGTTTTCGATGTGCTGCCCTCTCTGTGCTGTTGCTGGGACTTTACACGCTAGAGTGCTTTTGTCAAATGCAAGTCGGGCCACAGATATTCATCACCAGAAGGTTTTTCATACACACGTCTCCATCCACGCGCTCCAGGTGTACCTGCGTGGGTTCATTTGTTCACTCGAGCAACACGCTGGACAAGGCCAAGGGTAAATGTTGCCCATTTCAGTTTCCATGGGGAGAAATGGAACCATCGAGCCTCTATAAAACATGGTGAGTTTATTTTTAGACCTGACGCTCAGGGTTTCAGAATCCACAACCGCATGATTCTAACCTTCCTTTGCAAGCCAGGGGAACAGAAGAGAAAATCATTAACGGAGGAGAAAATCTCCCTCCTGCATCTCCCCAGTCCTTGTCAAGGTGAGCGACCCTGAGCCAGACCTCTCTGTTCTGAGAAGAGCTTGCTTACAGACGGAGTTACCTGGGTCTTTGTAGATACTGAGCACACCCTTGAAGTAATGAGGTAAAAATCTTTCCAGTAAAAGCAGCACATCTTCCAACTCTTCAAGAATGCCCACGAGCAGGAAGTTCTCGTTCACGTTCAGCTTTGCCCGCTCAAGGGCCCACTCACCAGGCTCCCTTTATGGACACAGAAATTGTTTTTAAATTAAAGGTCCATTTCTGAAATGCAACAACAACATGCTGGAAGTTTCTCCTATCTACCCTGCCCACATCTGCATGCGTCCAAATCCTATTTCCCTCGAGGTCCAGCCTCATCTGTAGCCTTCCCTGGTTCTCTGGGCTGCTGTCCCCTGCCCTGCCCACCTCACCACTCCTTCTCTGTCTCTTCCACCTATGCATAATGTCAAGCCCAGGGACTGGAGCTTAGTGGGTTGTGCCTAAATGCTTGTTCAAAGGGGAATGGAGGCATGGGCAGTTTAGGGCCTCACAAATGCTGATCCAGGAATGATTAGAATGGCTTTATTTATTTATTTATTTTTTGATATTTTTGCTATAGGGTGTGTGTGCTCACCTGAGAGACAGAGAAAGACACAGAGAGAGAAAGTGAGCAACCAAGGATGGCCATGCTGCAATCCCTTCTCCTCCATTCTCCTCTCGGGATTTTGGGCACACATGCACACGTGCCTGGTGTGTTTCAAGCTGCTAGGACTGGGACTCAAACTGTGGTCGACCATGTGGGAGTTCAGTGCCCTAACCACTATACCAGCTGCTGGCTCTAGAATGGCTTTTTAGTAGAAGCCCCAGTCCAATCATTTAAATGAATTTGGAAGTTTTGAAAAAAAAAAAGCAAATGTTCTGATCTAGTACTTCTGTAGAAATCACAATAGGTGTCCAGTCATGACTGCTATTCATCTTATTGCTTTAAAAAGCTGAAAGATCATTTTTTTTGCTTTTTCTTCCTTTTTAATTGCAGAAGGAAAACAGCCTCATTTTATTTGGAGGTTAGATCTCCAAATTTTTGGAGAGAAAATTCCAAGACTTGGACTCCGGGACTGGCTGTCATTTACCCCTTGGGAGATCTGGGCAAGCCAGAGTTCTCTTTTGAAAACTGGTAATCAAAACCCTTTACTAGCTCGAAGAGTTGGTGTGAAGGGTGAACAAGGTCACATTTTGGAAGCATCTGGGAATCACTGTGTGTGTACCAAGATAAGGCACCATGAGTAATCCCTTCAACACTGGGAAATATAAGATTTTTTTTTCTTTTTTTTAAAGGAGGTTTTTGCCTTAGGGCATTTGCACTCAACAGAGAGAGAGAGAGAGAGAAAGAGACAATGAGAGGGAAAGTGAGATGTCACCTCCCACAGTGGGGATGGCCATGCCACAATCCCCTCTCTTTCATTCTCCTCCCAGGATGTTGGGCATGCATGCACACATGCCCAGTGTGAATTTCAAGCCACCGGGTCCAAGATTTGAACCACCATTGGCCATGTGGGAGTCCAGCAATATAACCACTATGCCATTTGCTGGCCCCAGGAAATACACAATTTAAGAAATACCTTGGGGAGTTAGAATCATGTCTTCTGGAAAAATCACCTTCATTGTGATCAAAATGGGAATCATCTGGCCCCAAGTTTGCTCTGCTACGGAAGCACTGAACGTGAGCCGGGACGTATTTATTACTGAGGCAAGGGGTGGGGTGGGGTGGGGTGGGATGGAGTCTGAATTCAGAAAGTCTAGACGAAGCAGCAAACTAACAGGCGCAGTCCCAGAACTTGGGCCATAAGCAAACTCTGGTGTTGTGGGAAAGTGAACAGAACAGCACTGACTCTGACACCCTCCCAAGTAAGCAGAGAGCACAGCGTAAGGAAGAGGCGCAATGTGTGGGCTGGGGCTGAGAACGGCTGCTCCCTGCTGACCTTTTCAGGGGCACAGGGACCTCTCATCAGTATTTTGTTCTGGGGAAAAATGTCGCTTTTTGTCATAGGTTTATTTTCCATCGAGCTAAGAGACGGATCCATTGTTGTTAACATTTCTTGTCTAGGCTGAGATATGTGTCTAATACAATGGATTTCAACTGTGGCTATACTCGGATCACCGGAGAAGCAGGTACAAATGCCTGTACCCCCTCCCCACCAACAGGGATTAGGTAGGGGTGCCCAACAAACCCCCAGGGATGCTCCCAGACGTGGGCAGATCCCATCCTGATGGCTCTGACCGCCTGAGTCATTTTCTAACCAAGGTCATGCATTTAAGAAAGGCAGCCACCAGACAGTGCTTTCCTCTCTCTCTCCTAAGTGTGTTTCACGGGAGAGCACTACTGAATACCGGCTGTACATTTCTACTTTCAGCCCCGATGAGACAGGCCACACGGGCAGGGACAGATGTTGGTGAAGCCCATTCCCTACAGAGGAGCAGGCTAGGCGCCTGCCCCTGGTCCTCGAGATCTCGTGGGCTGAGTAGGCGTGACAGCTATGTTTCAGGTATAAGAAAGAGTTTGGCTGTCATTCTAGTTACACAGCTTTATGACATGGTCTCTATCAGACCCGATTTTGAAACCGTAGGACATTTGGAGTCTCCAGTAGTATCTCGAAAGATTAATAGTAAATATGAACTAAGTTCCTGGAGGCTTTGAGACCAGGGACACAGAAGATTCCCAGGGAGTGCCAGTCAGACGGCACTTCTACCCTGGCTGTGCACGTTAGCAGGCCGCGAGTCCGTTTCCGCCTTTACCTGCATCGGGGATGCTGTCCACAAAAATACGGAATGATGTAAAATAACCTGGGGTTGGAACACTCGGGATAGTTTTCAAGAATACACTCATTGATATCCTAGAAGAGAAAACACAGCAGTGAGACGTCTGTAGTCTCTCAGTGCTTTAGCAAATGACACACAGGCTCAGTGAAGGGACTACTTCCGTTGGCGGGCAAGCCCTGAGCAGATGCGGAGCATTCATAGCTTTCATGAGAAAACTCTTTTTGCCTGCCAGCATGCCGTTCCACGGGACAAGCATGGGTATGTCCAGCCACTTCGCAGAGCTGGCTCTATCGTGTAGAGTTGGCACGAATTCAGTATGCATGAGGCAGACACCTGTGTGGCCTGCCCTGCAGAAATGAGTCTCCCTGCACACCTGTTCAGCTAACAACGACCACGCACCTATAAAAGGGCTTGTACATTTTGAATGTTACATGAGGTTAGAAAGAGACAGAATGCTTGCATACAGACATCCTCTTGCTTTTAAAGGTAACCGTTTTTATTTCCAGGGTTTGTTTGTTTTTTTTTGTTTTTTTTGGAGAGGTTTTTTCACTATAGGGCGTGTGCGCTCACCAGACAGACAGAGAGAGACAGAGACAGAAAGCGAGAAATCACCCCCCAGGGGGGATGGTCACGCCGCAATCCCTTCTCCTCCATTCTCCTCTCGGGATCTTGGGTATGCACGCACACGTGCCCGGCGTGAGTTTTAAGCCACCGGGTCCGGGATGCGAACCGTGTCGACTACGTGGGAGTCCAGCGACATAGCCGTTACGCTAACTACTGGTCCCGGTTTTTTTATTTCTCTACGTTGAACGAGTTGTCTCTTTAGCATTACAAGGGCTTGGTGGGAAGGAGCAAAAGGGCTCAAATCACTCTTTGTTTAAATAATTATTTTTTTAATTTTAACTTTATTTATTTATGTATCTATTTGTTGATTTATTTTAATTTGACCAGAGAGGAACAAAGTGTGTGTGAGAGAGGGGGAAAGTGTGAAAGCAAGCCACCAGGTCTGGGACTCGAATAGTGGTGGCCATGTGGGAGTCCAGTGTCCTTAGTCACCATGCCAACTGCTGGCCCCTCAAATACACGTTTATCCAGGCAGATGACATGCCTGGTCCTTAGGTATTTCTAAGGAGAAAAGATAACCCAATTGATAACACACCCAATGGCTACGGGAAATTTTTCTAGAGACAATATTGGCAAAGTCGATTAAGGGAGGATGTAACTCCCAACTCCCAGATTTATGACGTGGTAGAAGCCGCTGTAGCACATATGATTGGAGTAGGTGTTTAGCTACTAATTTTCTTTTTTTCAGTTTAAGTTGGGAATATGAAAAATAGAACTTTTTTTCTTTCAACAGTCCCTTCTTTACCCGCTCATATTTCTTCAGTTTATATACACGGAGTAAATATAGTTCATGAGTATAATAACAAATTCGACTGCAGTAAACAGAATTGGCAACACACACCCTCACATGTTCTTAAACACCCGAGTGCACTGTGGGAAGCAGAGGTGCCTAGTTCCCTGGGAAGATTACGTTAGAAGCAAATAGGGTAGACACAGCAGTCTGCCCAGCCACTGGTTATGGGAAGGGTGTTAAGAGTTCCTCATTCTGGGAGCCGGCAGGTGGCGTAGAGGTTCAGGTGCTGGACTCCCACATGGCCAGCCACAGTCTGAGTCCGAGATCTGGCAGTCTGAATCTCACGCCAGGCAGATGTGTGTGCGTGCCCAAAATCCCAAGAGGAGGAGAATGGAGGAGAACGAATTGTGGTTTGGCCATCTCCCTGGAGGGGGCGGTGGGGGGATAATTTCTCACTTTCTGTCTCCCTGTCTCTCCAGTAAGCACACGCTCCCTAAAGCAAAAGTCTCTCTCTCTCAAGAAAAGAGCCCCTCATTCTGTATGAAACCCTGCTTAAAATTCATGACACTACACCCAAAATACCCTTCGAAGAAGAATTTGACATAAAGATGTGTGTTTAGAAATATGCATTGCTGCAAGATTAATTGCAACAAAATATGGCAGGTGGCGTGGTAGCTGGGGTGCTGGGCTCCCATATGACTGACCATAGTTTGAGTCCTGGACTTGGTGGCTTGCTTTCTTGCTTTCCCTTTCTCTCTCTCTGCCTCTTTCAGTCAAGTTAAAACAATAATAATAACAAACTGAATGAAATTAAATGATTAATTCTTTAAAAAAATATATATGGCAGAACCTGGAACCAGCAGATGGTGTAGCAGTTACATCACTGGACTCCCATGTAGTCAACCACAGTGTGAGTCCCGGATCTAGTGGTTTAAAACCCATGCTGGGCATGTGTGTGTGTGTGTGCCAAAAAAATCCTGAGAGGAGAATGGAGGAGAAGGGATTGCGGGGGGGCCCCCCGTCGGGGGGGGGGGGTCCTGTCTCTCTGGCAAATGTATGTGCCCTATAGGAAAAAAAAAAGAAAAAAACATATGGCAGAACTGAAATGTTCATTAATGGGGATTGGTCTAAAGAGAAGTTTTGGTACATCCATACAACAAAATACTGGGACCTAGAAAACAGGAGGATCTATAGGTAGTCCTAAAAAGTGTCCTCGATAAATGTTCTAATCAAAAAGAATGAGGTTATAGGACAACATGAACATGCAGATAACAGAAAAATTAACATTTGGAAGGATACACTACACTGAAAAGTGGTAATCTGGGGACCAGCAGATGCTGTAATGGTTACATTGCTGGACTGTGATGTAGTTGACTGTGGTTCGAGTCCTGGACCTGGCGGCTTAAAACTCATGCTAGGTGCATGGGCATGGTGCCCAAAATCCTGAGAGGAGAATAGAAGAGAAGGGATTGTGGCATGGCCATCCCCCCCAGGGGGTGATTTCTTGTTTTCTGTCTTTCTGGTGAGCGCACACACCCTATATCAAAATTCTCTCTCTCTCTCTCTCTAAAAGAAAAAAAAATCCACTTTAAAAAAGTGATAATTTCTACTGGTCGTTGTAATAGAAGACAGACTACATAGAACTTTTACTTCATTTTTTATTTTTTTTTGGAGAGGTTTTTGCTATAGGGCATGTGTGCTCACCAAAGAGAGACAGAGAGACAGAAAGCCAGAAATCACCCCCCAGGGGGGATGGCCACACCGCAATCTCTTCTCCTCCATTCTCCTCTTGGTATCTTGAGCATGCACACACGCACACCTAGTGTGAGTTTTAAGCCACCGGGTCCGGGACTCGAACCGTGGTCGATTACATGGGAGGCCAGCAACATCGCCATTATGCTAACTGCTGGTCCCAGAACTTTTATTTCATTTTTGAAATGTAAGCTTTCTTTTTGAGGTTTTTGCCATAGGGCATATATGCTCACCAAAGAGAGACAGAGACAAAGTGAGACATTATCCTGCGCCTCCCCCGCCCACTCCCCCCCCGGGAGATGGGCACACCACGATCCCTTCTCCTTGATTCTCCTCTGAGGATTCTGGGCACGCACACACACCCGGTGTGATTTTTAAACCACTGGGTCCGGAACTCAAACCATGGTCAGCCATGTGGGAATCCAGCACCTTAACCACTATGCCACCTTCTGACCACAAATATTAGCTTTTACTATAAAGTATGAATTTGACTTTGATCATGAGAAAATCATGAAGAGTTTTACATATTATAAAACCAACCAGAGCTTGGGGAGGGTGATTGGGCTTTGCCAGAAGGATGTGCTGACCTGCTGAGGGTGTCCTCTGGCAGCTGGCCTCCCATGGGAGCTTTAAGCCTCAGGTCCAGGGACCCAGGGAGCAGTATGGTGGCTGCCCTACAACAGCCGTTTGCTGGGAAACCCGGGAGCTGGATGACAAGGGGGCACAGGGCAGCTGTGGCCAGGCGGAGCCATCTGCTGAGGTCGAGAATTCTCACCAAAGGGCGGAGTAAAGCGAAGGAGCCAAGGCAGGGACATCCAAAGATCTGTCACGCACACGGCCAGCCCCCGGCCCATCCCAGTCCTGCATTAACACGAGTGGCTGGGCTTCAGGAGATTCCCAGAGACCCTCCCAGTACCCCTCTACCCCTGAGAGACTCTCCCTCATCGCCTCATCTCCTGAGCTCATTTTCCCAGTTGCCAAGCACTTCTGGCTTAGCTCATAGGACTGCCCACGGCACCCCAGGGCCAGGGCGCAGTAACTGCTGAATGGCAGAAGAAAGGGCTGAGAGGCACGCCATGAAGTGAGAAAGCAGGCAGACGCCTCTTCCGCTTGCTGATCCTGCCAACATCTGTCCCCTGGGCCAGCCAAGGCTCTCAGGAGTGGGCAGGGGATGTGGCTGGCTGGTGTGGGGGAGGACGGAGGAGGCGCCAATGCACAAGTGGCCTCCCAAGGTCACTTGATGGAAAGGCATAAATCCTATTTAAAAGTGCAGTTAATGACTCTTCTTAGACACATCCCCAGGGATTTCAGAGTTCCATCTGGGCTTGGTGAATGGCGCTCACCACAGCTGAGCCTGGAAAAGCTCTAGGAGGTGGTACATCTAAGTGGACTGGGGGAGGAGAGCTGTGTCGCCCCAGTGGAGGACCAGGGCCAGCAGGACACGGCTCCTGGCCACGCCATGGTCCACTCCGGATGGACTGACGCCTTCAGCGAGTGGCATTTTAGTTTTTTGGGAAACCAAATGGGACAGGACAGGTGCCATTGCACCCCAGGAACACTGTCTTCCCCAGTGGCTTTGGTGCGAGGCTTCTAGTGCTGTCCTGTGCTGTTCCGCGATCATCCTTTATACAGGCCTTCTCACAGTACATATGTGTTCTTAAATGACTGTGCATGCAGTACTTCTAAGGTCAGGTTGTTTTAAAAATGTTGGTATTTATTTAAACCTTTCTCTAAGATTGTCACCTGCTTGCCAGCACTGGATCTATGATCTGTCCCTCTGGTTTCTGGATCTTGGTGCAGATCACGTGCACCTCTGAAATACCCTCTCTTAGCCCTCTTTTAAGATCAAATATTTTTACTTTTATTTTATTTTTTTTTAAAGTTTGCCAACGGGGTTTTCATATGGTCATCTGTCTGCAGCGTGTGCAGAATCCTGAGCACATGTGTATGGGTGCTCACAGGGAG